CCACAGCGAAGACACTTTTGTACAAAACGATCAGCAGGAGCAGACCTAGCACCACCAGCACCACTACCACGGAAGCAGCTCGGAGTGTCGAGAGGAACGAACCCGAGAAAGTACTAGACGTCGAGGAGGACGAGGAGGATCCCAAGGTTATCAAAGAGCTGATCATGCTGATCAAGAAGGCAGGCGGTATAGAACAGTTGGAGAAGCAACTGCTGCTCCAAGACAAGAATCTTCAGAACGAGAGTGTCAACGCAAAGTCTGGCGACGAGAACGCTACTCCAGCCACGATAAGTCGCAGCTTGTACGAACGCGTGTTGAATCGCCAAGCTAGTAAAATCACGAGCAGGCAGCGCGCGTCTACGAATACGAATCGCGCGAACGGGCCGGGGAACGCGCAGTTCGAGGGACTGGACGAGCTACCAGAAGTGAAAGGCCTGAGACGCTCGCAGAAACCGCAATACGTTACCATCGACAGGGCCAAGTACTATACTATACTGTTTATTCTAATGTTTCGTCCGTCGCGTAATTATCCGAGGCTCCTCACTGAGGCAACATCTTTCAGCAATTTTGTGTAAATGTTGCACGTATCTTAAAAAAATTCGCCACTCGTTGACGAATGTCTCGCCAAGTTTCTGTAATAAATATCGCCATATTTGAAGTGGAAGCAGGTGGCAATATTTAGTCGTGTCGAATTTGGAATTTTTAGACATTTTTTTTCGCCCAAAAAAATTTTAGTCGACGAGTTCTAACAGCGACTTTATGATTCTGGACGCGTGTGCTCTAACAACGACTTTATGATTCTCGACCCATGGATGAAAATATTAACAGTTAATTTTATCATTTGATTATTCACTGATACTACAACTATGATAAATAAAATAGCGAAACCTAATCCAGAATCATAAAGTCGCTGTTAGCACCTGTTTTTCAACAGAACTAATTGTGACCTATGGTTCCTCGAAAAAGTTTTATCTTCGCGATGAGTAGAATATAGTGCAAAAAAAAAAAAATTTGACTTTGAAATTCAAGGTCAAGGTGTCAGGTTCTTCTTTACATGTATTTCCATCAAATCGAAGGTGTAGAATTCATTCTGCATA